CATAGCACGAAAACTGCGACTGCCACTGGACAGATGCTTACCTGAGATCGACGCAAGACTGGTAGACGGCACGCCATTGGCGATACGGGAACGCGTAGACCGGGTTCGGATTCGATGTGGGGGTAACTTCACGTTTAGCCAGGAAATGCTCGCAACGACCCTCGACGGAACCGATATTTTACTCGGGCGTGATTGGTTGCGACGACACAATCCGCGAATCGTTTGGACGACGGGTGACTGCACCGTGCGAGTGAACGGTAACAACATCGCCTTACCTCGCTGGGGCTCGCCTGAGTCTTCGTCGGTGCGTGTCAACGCGACCACGATGAAACGCGTCGTAGCGGCAGGAGCTGACGTGTACGCGGTCGACATTTGGGAAGCCGAGGCAGCAGACAAAGGAGGGGATTTACAGAAACTTCTGGCCGACGTACCGAGTGACCTGGCAGCACTGTTGAAGCAATACTGCGACATTTTCCCGGACGATTTACCGACGGGACTGCCACCTCAGCGGCCGCACGACCATAGGATAGAGTTAGAACCGGGGGCACTGCCAATAGTACAGCGACAGTTCCGACTGACCCAGCCCGAACTGGACGAACTGAGGAAGCAGCTCGATTACCTGCTCGAGAAGGAATTCATTCGCCCTAGTTCGTCGCCCTTCGCAGCACCGATACTGTTCGCACCGAAAAAAGACGGGGGATTTCGCATGTGCATAGATTACAGAGCACTGAACAGGGTTACCATCAAATCCCGTTACCCCATCCCACGAGCCGACGAACTGATCGACCAACTGCGCACAGCCCGGGTTTTCTCGAAAATCGACCTCCGAGGGGGTTACCACCAGATTCGCGTCAATCCGCCCGACTGCCCTAAGACCGCATTTCGAACACGCTACGGATCCTTCAAATTCACCGTCATGCCCTTCGGACTGACCAACGCCACCGCCACTTTTCAAATGACCATGAACGAAGCTTTCCGCCCGCTCTTAGATAAGTGCGTCATAGTATACCTGGACGACATACTGATTTACAACCCTGACAGAGCACAGCACTTACAGGACATCGAAGCAGTTTTTAAAATACTGAGTGAGAACCGCCTACTGACAAAAGCGTCTAAGTGTGAATTTTTACAGGATCGCCTGGAGTTTTTGGGACACGTTATCTCAGCTGCAAGAGTGGGAATAGACCTGAAGAAAATTGCGACGATTCAAGCATGGCACGCGCCGACCAACTTGACCGAGTTGCAGAGTTTTTTGGGGCTCGTCAACTACGTGCGCCGGTTCGTCCCTGACATGGCGAAGCTGACTGCCCCGTTGACCGACCTGCTGAGGAAGGGGGTTGAGTACACGTGGGGGGAAAAAGAGCAGGCTGCCTTCTCGGCCCTCAAAAACATTTTGTGCTCACCGCCCGTGCTTCACATCGCAGATCCACACCGTCCGTTCGAGCTCGTCACTGACGCAAGTGACATCGCTGTGGGAGCAGTACTGTTGCAGGATTTCGGGAACGGCTTCCAGCCAATCGCGTACGAGTCCCGCAAGGTGCACCCGCCCGAACGCAACTACCCGATACACGACCGCGAAATGTTGGCGATCGTGCACGCGTTCAAAGTTTGGCGCTGTTACCTGACTGGCGCCGACGTCACAGTACGAACAGACCACCGATCACTACAGTACCTACGCGCCCAACCAAATCTCAATCCGCGATAGATTCGCTAGTTGGACTACCTCGAGCCCAACTTCCACTACACGGTTACGTACAAGAAAGGCGCCTCCAACATCGCCGACGCACTCACCCGCCCTACCGCCCAACTCCACGCCATCCTAATCACCCAAACCAACCCGCTTTTAACAGGTCTATTCACCCACGGATACCGCACCGACCCATTTTTCACGACTGGAAACTCACAGCAACTGGCAAAAGCAAAAGGAGTTTATTACGTAAAAACAGGCACCAACCGCATCTGGGTACCCGCGTACTCACTACTGAGGGAGCTGCTACTGCAGGAGGCACATGACGGAATTACCTCGGGACATTTTGGGGTACAAAAAACGCGACAGCAACTGCAGCGGTATTACTACTGGCCGGAACTGCTGACCGACGTACAGCAGCACGTGGGCTCGTGCCCCACGTGTTAGGTGATGAAAATCTCGAGGAAGCGGAAGGCGGGTCAATTGCAGCCGATGCCACCGCCCGAGCGCGCCTGGCAGCAGGTTACCATGGACTTAGTCACAGGGTTACCTTCGAACCCTGGGGGTAACGACGCGGTGATGGTCGTCGTTGACAAGTTGGCGAAGATGGCACACTTCCCTGCGTGCAAAAAGTCGATCTCAGTCGAGGAGACCGCTCGTCTGTTCATCGCAGCCGTTGTTCGCCTGCACGGGATACCAGCAGCGATTATCAGCGACAGGGACACGAAGTTCACCAGCAACTTCTGGAGGAACCTCTGGGAGCAGTTCGGGACCAGGCTACAGTTCAGTTCGCCGTACCACCCCGAGACCGACGGTCAAACGGAGCGGACGAATCAGACGATGGAGCAGTTGATTCGTGCCACGTGCGACGATCCCACGACTTGGGAACAACACCTGCCGCTGATCGAGTTCGCGTACAACAACGCCACGTCAGAGACGACGCAGCAATCCCCCTTCTTCCTGAACTACGGGCAAAATCCTACAGTGCCCATGACGCCGAGTCCGGACAACCCCACACCACGTGCACAGCAATTCGCCGAAATACTGCATGCTGCCCGCACCAGAGCCGCAGAAGCAATTAAAAAAGCAAACGTCATCGCTAAGCGCAACGCTGACCGCCACCGCCGCCCAGTCACATACCAGTCAGGGGATTAAGTACTACTTGACACGCAAAATCTGCGACTGCCCGACGTACCAAAACTCCGACCGCGCTACTGTGGCCCATTCCAAATCAGCCACATGATCACGCCAGTAACCGCGCACCTACTGTTACCGACCGACTGGTACATCAGCCCTTCGTTCCACATCAGCTTGCTTCGCCCATACATCCCAACCACAAGCCAACTGCCTCGCCACCGCCCACCATCCATGACTCGCCCTGCATCGGAGCCGATCATCGAGCCCGAAAAAATCCTGAGCCATCGGATTCGACACCCCACGGGAATCAGGAGGATTGAATTATTCGTTCGCTGGAAGGACCGCACGCCAACTGAAGATAGCTGGGTGCTCCTGGCCAACATTGAAAACCACCCTGCCCTGCAAGTGTACCTGAGGAGCCGGGGATTCCGCGATATACACGCACTCGCGTAGCGGAGGGGGCTTCTTGAGGAGGGGGGGGGCTTCTCGGCATTCCTTACGGAGCCCGACTACATCGCGTACAGCAACAGCCGTTGTTCGCCCGTTACTGCTAACGGGGCTTCGCCGACTTCGCGCGCACTATTTCACCAAACCTCGCACTGCTGGCCTGGCCTTGTCGGCCTACGCTTCGGGACTAGCCCGAGCCTCGTTTCCAGCGTAGCACTAGCTAGCCCGCACGCACCGCGTTACCGTTTGCATGTTTCGCGTATAAATGTTCGCTCGTGCCTTCGCTCACATTTGGTACTCGTTTGACACTTTAGTGCAATTCTCGCTACTTCGATTCATTGCACCCGTAACACGTACTCACTTCACACTTCACTCACTTGGTAATTCCAATTTGTTGAGCGCAGACTTTGAATGACATAGTAACGCGCTCGCTGACTTTGTTGAAAGTACTCAGATTGACTTGATATGGCTTGGGTTTTTTGTTGGCAAGGTTTAGAGTATCTTAAACATATTTGGGTATTACAGATACTTTGTGAGAAGGGAGTTTGTTGCGGAAATAAACCAGTAATCGATTTAATGAAGGCGAGTTGAAGGGTGTAAGCGGCTACAATGTCGAAACCAGCAATACTTTTCTCCTGACAGGACTTTGGGAGCAGTGATTTTAGGCTGATGTGGCTCCGCTCGAACTCCAGCGTCGCAAAAGCGCTCGGCTGGGGACCTAGCTGCCCAAGCAGTTCCGAGAGTTCCGAAGCTGCTTGGGCTCTGTCCTTCCAACGCGACCCGTCGAAGGTATCTTTCCCCACTCAGCTCAAACTGTAACTTCGAACACACCCCCCGAGAGCATACCTCTCTCCCCCCATTGTTCTTACTTCCTCGCTAGAAACGCATTTCAGGTTTCATTCTAAACTTTCTTAGGGTTTGGTTCTCACGGGAACAATTTTCGGAAGCTAGAAATCGCTTGACTCGAAGTCGCACATGGCGGACGCATATTACTACCCTCGAGTCGCGCGTTCCGTGACCGTTCTTCACGGCGCGGCGTTGCGCGCTCACGTTAGTACGACAGCGTGCCTCCTCCAGCTACTGCTCTACTCTTCACTGACGACGGCTTTCCCGCCTATATCGAGGCAGCTTATATCAAAGCTGCATGCTGCTCGCCGCGGACAAGGACTCTCCGCGCAGACAGTTCCGCCTCGCGCGGCGCAATATCTCGGTGCGCAGCGGGCGGGGAGAACATTATTCATGGATCCCTGCTGGACAGCACCGGCGTCCGACGCAGCGGTCGCCGGAACCAGCAGTGACCCGTCGCAGGCTTCGGCGGCTGACGCGGCGGCTCTCAGGGCGATCTTCGCGGCCGCGCTGCTGCCTATCCCAGCGGACAATCCGTGCACGTGGACCGGCGTGACTTGCTGCACCGGCGTTGTTAAGCAGCTAGACCTGCAGCAAAGCCTGGAGGCCACCGTCAACACTAGCCTCGCGCCCCCCCCACCCACGCCTCGCCTTTGCAACCGTACTGCGCGCGTACCCGGCGGAAAGTTCGTCCCCGCAACCCTTTCCGATTCTATCGGCTAGTTGACGGATCTCACCGATCTCTGTCTGACGAATGTCTGGCTTGCTGGCTCTTTCCCGCGATCGTTTTCCCGGCTTACGAAAATGTCGAGTCTCGAAATTAGCGAAAACTGCTTCGCTGGTCCTCTTCCTGCCGCCATTCTTCGCTCGCCGATGCTTAGCTATGTGTCCACCGCCAATAATTTCTTCACCGGCGGGTTACCGCAACGCGCTGCTGCGTACGCGGCTACGCTATGGAGTCTTAATCTCGGGAATAACAGGCTGTCCGGGCCGATCCCTGCTGCCCTCGCGACGCTGCCGGACCTTGCAGAGACGTTTGTACTCGAATAGGCTAACTGGAAATATCCCCCCTGCGCTGCTGAAGTTAGGCAATGCTGTTGATTTAAGTCGGAACCGCCTTTCCGGCGACCTGAGCGGTTAGCGAATATTGCCCGAAATCTTTCACGTAAGCGGGAACTTGCTGACGGGAAACTTCAACTCGATCCGCTTCGGCGAACGCGTGTGGGATATCGACGTGTCGCACAATCTGTTTTCGGGCTCGTTCCCGCGAATCGTGTGCGGTCGGAGCAGCGTAGCGACTGATTTTTCGCATAATCGCCTGACAGGAGCCGTTCCAGCCAACTGTTTCAAGTCCAGAAGTTCCTTTCCGAAGGGCCTCTTTCTTAGCCACAACAGTTTCTCGGGCAGCTTGCAGCCGTTTTCGAAACTGCCCACGGACATCACTGCTCTGGACCTCGGATTCAACAAGTTCACTGGGAGCATTCCCCCACGCCTCGCCAGTTTACCCCGGCTGAAATACTTGGACCTCGGGGCAAACGCTCTGACAGGTGAGCTGACTGAAAAGGTTCAGATTTGAGCAAATCATTCTACTGTTTATACAAGCGCACTCTCCCACCCTCTCTGTTCTTCAAGTGTGTCCTGTTGTGATCGACCGATCAGAACCACTCGTTTGCTTTATTTTGTTGAGCCTTCTTCCATACCTCTTACCTCTTTCCAACGCTCTTCTCCTTCTGCTTCCGCTGCCCCATCCCTCAGACCCCATCGTTTAACTTCCTCCTTCATCCCATCCCCACCCTTCAGATTCCCACTCACCCCCTCTCTCCTCTCTCTCTTCATCTCCCCACCCCTCAGGTCCCATCCCCGCCTTTTGCCAGGGCAAGCAGGCCCTCACCATCCTCAATCTCGCCTCCAACGCCCTCTCCGGCCCGCCCACCCCGCTCTCCTCCCCCTCCTGCTCCGCCTCCCTCACCTACCTTTACCTCTCCTCCAACCGCCTCTCCGGCCCCATCCCCGCTACAGTCAGCTCCTTTACTCGCCTCAAGCTGCTGACCCTTGACAAGAACGCCCTCACGGGAACGATCCCCGCAGGAATGAGCAACATGAAATGGTTGCAAGGACTTGGGTTGTCATATAACAGGCTAACGGGGAAAATACCCTCGGTTCGGCCGGCAAGGGTACGGCAAGTGCTGCTGGCGGGGAATCGGCTGTCAGGGGCTGTTCCGGCTGCTCTGAGCAAGCTGAAGCGAGGCTCGTTCAAACCAGGGAACCCCAACCTGTGTGGGAAACCACTGACTGCTTGTGCTTAGGACCACACCGCTTGTGCATATGATCAACCCTCCTTGGTTCAGCTCTCAGCAAGCTGGGAAAAAAGGAAATGGAAGAAATACTACGGTATGTCAGGTTGTGGGCTAGCTCAATGTGAGGGCTTTCTGGTTTGATTGAGCCACTTGATCCTTCCGGGACGAGTCTCTGCCGTCCTGCTTGCTCGGGCAAGGAATGAGAGTGCATGATTGGAAAGGTGTGCAGGTGACGGAAGTTGGATAGCTATGTGTCAAATATTATAGCCTGTAGTGGGTTGGGCTACATGGGGTACAACTAGTTAGGGTTAGGTTATGTACCCCAATTCTATCAATTCAACACATTCCGCTGTAGTTCTCATTCTGACATGGTATCAGCAGTAGGTTAGCGCTCCTAGCCCTAGGCCCGCCCGTCCCTACCACTAGGGTTACCACTGTGCCCCGCCAGCCCGCCAGCGCCCTACCCCACGCCCCAGCCGGCGCGCCCCTCCCCTCCCCGCCCTTAGCCAGCGCGCCCGCCAGCCAGCCAGCGCGCTAGCGAGCCAGCCCGCCAGCCAGCCAGCGCGCCAGCCAGCCAGCGCGCCAGCCAGCCAGCGCGCCAGCCAGCCAGCGCGCCAGCCAGCCAGCGCGCCAGCCAGCCAGCGCGCCAGCCAGCCAGCGCGCCAGCCCGCCAGCGCGCCAGCCAGCCAGCGCGCCTGCCAGCCAGCGCGCTAGCCCGCCAGCCAGCCAGCGCGCCAGCCAGCCCGCGCGCCAGCCTGCTTGCACGCCAGCCCGCCAGCGCGCCCGCCAGCGAGCCCGCCAGCGCGCCCGCTAGCGCGCTCGCCAGCGCGCCGTGCCAGCGGGCCCCGCCAGCGTGCACGCCAGCGCGCCGCGCCCGCCAGCACGCGCCCTGCCTAGCCGCCCGTCAGCGCGCCGCGCCGGAGCGCGCCCCGCCAGCGCGTGCCCCGCCGCCCCGCGCCCAGCCAGAACGCGCCCCGCCTGCGCGCACCCGCCTCGCACTCACCTCCCTCTCCTCCTCCTCTCGCGGCTGGCGGCCGCTATCGCTTGTTCTCGCCCCTCATGGCGACGTCTCGCGTGCTCCGTTTCGACCCTGAGGGGCGCGCGATCGACTTTAGTACCTGGCTGACGCAGGCCCAGCGCCACCTTAGGAGCCAGCGCCAGGATGGCGTGCACCTGTTTGCGCACGCGTCCAGTGCTCTGCCCGCCCCGACGTAGCCTACACCGCTGCCCACTACCCCACCGCCTACTTCCGAGCAGGAGGCTGAGTACCAGCGCCGGTTCCTCGCTCGTGACGTGTGGGAGTCTCGTGACGCTGCTGCCTGCCTCGCCCTGACCGACCTTCTCCCGCCGACTGAGGCCGTCCACTTCACTCAGGTCGAGTCTGCTGCAGACCTTTACACTGCTATTGTTGCTCGCTACTCCACTCCCTCCTCTGCCTCCCTCAGCCACCTCCTCGTCCCCTTTATCTACCCTGACCTCGCCTCCTTTGAGACTGTCGCTGACCTCGCTACCCACCTGCGCTCCCTTGAAGCTCGCTTCAAGGCCGCTTGCACTGAGGAACAGCTTGCCCTTGCACCCCCCCCCATGTGGCTCACTATTCACTGGTTAGTCACTCGCCTCCCTGACCGTCTAGCCACAGCCCGCGACGCGCTTCTCCTAAAGCACCCCACTGAGCTTACTATCGATCTTCTTGAGACCGCTCTCTCGAAGATCGAGAGTAACCTCCTCGCTGTTGCCTCCGCCTCTTCCGCGCCTCCTCCTCGCCTCTTTGAGGGGTGTGCGGTACCACAGCTTCCCACCTTCACTGCCTCGCTTGCCACTGCCGCGTCTTCTACCTCTGAGGAGACGGCAGCCGTTTCTGTCTCTGGCGGACAGAAACGTGGCAAGTCCGGCAAGAAGGGAGGGAAGGGCGGCGGGGGGCGGGGGTTCTGGGGGTGTTGCGGGTGGCGGCGGTGGCGGTAGTACTAGTGGCGGGGGGGGGGGTGGCGGCGGGGGTGACTCGGGACCTGACGGCTCTCCTCTAGACGGTGGTGAGGGGTTTCCGCAGCAGCAGCAGCAGACTCCTCCGCAGCTGCCACCGCCTGGACAGCAGCAGCGGCAGGGACAGCAGCAGCAGCGCCAGGGCCAGCAGCAGCGTCCGCCTCAACGAATGATGAGGGCAGGGGCATCAGATTTGGCACGAAGGGGATAGACAATGGCAAAACGAGAATGGTCATCGACGAGAAGAAGAAAGTAACGATGACCTTGGCGAGAGGCAATAGGGGAGGGACCCCAAAGGTCCATATGCACGAGATCAAGTGGCTGAGGGGAGGCAGAAGGGGAAGAAGGATGAGGAGACTGAGAGAGCTTCGCTTGAACACAGGGAGTGCAGAGAGGGGCGGGAGAGGGAGGAAGGGGCGGGAGAGAGGAGGGAAGATCATGAAGTAGCTTCGAATGAACCATGCTGCGAAGGAGAGGGAAGTTTGGGTGGCCAAGACGATGATGGAGAAGAAGGGTAGGTTGGGTGAGAGAGCGACAGTCGCAGGAGGAACTGGGTGGAGCGGAAGCAGGGGAAGTGTGATGCGCAGCGGAGGGGAGAGAAACACGGAGGGTATAGAGACGAGAGATAGGGGAAAGGGTGAAACGAGCAAGATGCCGGTCGTGGTAATGAAGATCACAGTAGAGTTCACCTGCGGGGAAACTCGCTCGCACACCAAGGGATTGGAGGGCGGAGAGGGAGAGAAGGTTATGACGACAGGAGGGAACATAGAGGCCAGTGACTGCGCCAGAAGGGGAGGCGGGACAAGGAAGAGAGGAGGTGCCGGTGCATGTCAGGGTCATGGTATCCCCAGCCCCATGAATAAAGAGAGGGCGGGGAAAGGAACGAAGAACACCGGCATCACGAAAAACAGAGTCAGTAGCACCACTGTCGAGGACAAAGTCCAAGGTGCGAGGGAGAGAGAGAGAAGCAACTGTAGAGCAGGGTGTAGGAGAGACAACGCCAGGAGTAGAAGGAAGAAACGGCACGGCAAATCGAGGGTCCATGAGAGGAGAGGCACCAAGAATGCTAGCATACGAAGGCATGGTTACACTGAGAGCAGAGGGAAAACGATTAGCACTAGGAGGCGCGACGGAAAGCAATGGCGGGGCGGGGGACTGGCGACGCTGGTGAGACTGGAGAAACGAGACAGGAGGAGAGTTCCAGCGACAAAAGGAAGGAGAGGCGGTCCAAGCGGGAGAGAGGGGAGCGGATGACGCATAAGGCAGGGGAAGGAGAGGGAAGGGATGAGGGACAGCAGTAAGAGAGAGAGGGCAGGAGCGACGAGGAAGAGAGGGAGTGTTAAGGATGGGCGCCATAGAGAGGGAAGGAGGCAGAGGCAGGGCAACTGAGGGAAGAAATAAGAGGCGGAGGAATGTGGGAGGAGGAGTCTGCTGCGGAGCAGCTGAGGGGAGAAATAAGAGGCGGAGGAATAGGGGCGGAGTAGTCTGCTGCTGCGCCGCTAAGGGGAGAAATAAGAGGCGGAGGAATATTGGCGGAGTAGTCTGCTGCTGCGCCGCTGAGGGGAGAAATAAGAGGCGGAGGAATATTGGCGGAGTAGTCTGCTGCTGCGCCGCTGAGGGGAGAAATAAGAGGCGGAGGAATATTGGCGGAGTAGTCTGCTGCTGCGCCGCTGAGGGGAGAAATAAGAGGCGGAGGAATATTGGCGGAGTAGTCTGCTGCTGCGCCGCTGAGGGGAGAAATAAGAGGCGGAGGAATATGGGCGGAGTAGTCTGCTGCTGCGCCGCTGAGGGGAGAAATAAGAGGCGGAGGGAAAGCGTGAGAAGGAGCACGACGCCGAGACAAGGTCAGCAACCGGCTGCGGCAGATGGAGAGAGGAGAGAGGCGGAGGAGAGAGCGAGCTGGGGAGGGGAAAGGAAGGAGAGGGGTGAGGAGGAGGAGGGTGAAGGGGCGGAGTGGATGGAGAAGGGTCTTGATAGAGAGGAGAGGAGTGGAGAGGGGCACTGCCGCCAGGCGAAATCAGCAGCCAGCTGCTGCAGCTGAGGTGAGATAGGAGGCGGAGGAAATGGGAATGTGGTAGGGGGAATGAAGGGAGAGAGATGAGGCGGAGGGAAGTGAAGGAACGAATTTTCGTAGAGGGGAGTGGTGATGGCTAACCGGAGAACGCGGAAAGGCGCGCATTGGGGGGGGGAGGAGGCGCGCACCCCGCGCTCGACGAGGGGAGCGGAGGGACGCGCGGGGGAGGGACGAGGGGCGGGCGGAAACGGGAGGGAGGGCGCGCGACGGCAATGCGGGCCGCGCGCGACGAAAGGGACGAGAGAGGGAGGGCGCGCGATGAGTGGCAAGTCGCGCGCTACGACGGAGGGCGGATCCGCGATTTGGGGAAAAAAAAAAAAAAAGATGTAAAGAAAGAAAAAAAGAGCTAAAATCGACTAACTAAGGGGTAGCGCGAAATAAGCTTAGGGGCATGAAAGGTTCTAAGAGATGTAGATGATGAGGAAACGCCTAGGATTTCGCTCTGAATACCATGTTAATAGTAGGTTTATGACAGCCATGGCTAGGAAGTTAAGTAGGAGAGGAAAAGATCGATACTAGAAAAGAGTCGAGAGACATTTGAAAGCTAGGGTTAGGAAACCCCAACTAGACCTAAGGCGTGTTCAATGCAGATACAAACTGCAAAGTGAACCTAAGATGAAACAGAAATGAAACTAAGTCTAAAAGTGGCCGGAAAATAATATACGGTAAGGCCAAAATAAACTGTAGAGCGAACGCTAGCCTACTCCAACAGCAGCAGCGTCCGCCTCAGCAGCAGCCCCAGCAGTGGGGCACTCAGCAGCAGTGGGGCACTCAGCAGCAGTGGGGCCCTTCGCAGCAGTGGGGCCCCTTGCAGCAGTGGAGGCCTACGGGCCCCCCGAGCACTGGGCGCAGTGGTGCCCCTTCTAGTCGGGGACCCCGCTCGGCCGGCCGCGACGTTGGTCCCTGTGAGTACTGGATCCTGACGGGTCCGCGCAGGGGCACGTACTGCGGCCGC